TTTAAGCACATCACTTATTGAACTTTCAAACATGCTTTCAAAAGCATTAAAGAATGCAGCTTGAGGGATTGCCATATTTTTGCTCTATTTCATACAATATTTAATATATTATTTACGTAAAAGTGTGTACCAAACAACTTAAACCATATGTGTGTACTAGACTGCTTTTTAAAGGAGCCACATTTGGAATGTCTGCAAAGAAACAAGATACACTATGCCAACACCCCACACACAAATGCAAAGGTAGTTAACACTCTAGCTATGTTAACGAAGGGAAAATGCAAAACAAGAATAAAAATGACCTCCAAATAAAAAGAGAAATTCTTTTAATGCAAAAACAAAATGTCTCATAATGATAGTTTAACTGACAAGGAAAAATAATTCGAAGGGCTATCAGATATACCATTAATGTTATTAAATCATTCACATTTTAATTGACTGCCACATCTATTTTCTTATTTACGTCTATGAGTCTCAAATAGTTTTACATATTAATGTGTGTATGTTATGACATGTATATACACAATATGTACATCTCTAATAACTGTCTAAATACATTATGGAACATTTACATATACATGCAATTTTATAAGCTGCCAGGCAGGTTATTTAATCTTCTTTTTTTTCTTGGAGGTTTTCAGGGGAAAGCTGAGCAGGCATCTGTTAGGGATATATTAGATATAAAATATCAAGCCCCAGGGCAAGGGGTTAGACCAGATGGCCCAAGGAGGACTCCTCTAATTCTATCATTCTGGATACACCTAATATCAATTTACACTTGTGACTTTTTAAACACATCACAATTCGCAAACAAGAAAAAGTAAGCTGGGTTTTTTTTTAAATGAGTACTTTTTCACTGCAGTGTTTACACATGGATGTGGAATTTAGATTATTCTGAACAGAATTTATAACATTTTGCTTTTAATCAAAATTATTTGTGACATACTTCTTTGCTTTTTTAAGAAGAGATGCCAATGATCAGAAAGAACCAAGTGACCTCACTAGAGGGACACTATTATTCTGACAGATACATCTTTCACTGAATCTGTGCTGTAGACAGACACAAAACCCCTATGAACGCATTGCATCTCTACAAGCAAAGATTGTTGGGATGGAATTTACAGGCAAAGCAATCTCATGCATTCTCCTTCTACATCATCAGATTTCCTTAGTTGATGTGTTGTATAGGAACTCTCAGTCTAGTAGATCACAGAAAGAAATAACTCATTCCCCTTTGCTCCCACTTGGCAAAGTACTGATAGCATATGAAGGAATATGTTAAGCACTGATTCCGCAAATAGGCTGCAAGTTGTATTACACATTCATAAGTAGCTTCCTCTGAACATCTATCTAAAACAAAGAATCAACAAATAAAATTTATTGTAAAAAAATAACATCCCATGGGGAATCAAGAGTTTGTTTCCAGTTTTAACAAACATTAAATCTTATCAACGGCAGAATTAAAGAAAAAGAACTACTTAAAATAGCACAATGGAGTTGGTACAAATACATCACTAAATTTATTTCCTTCCCCCCCCTTTTTAGATAAAGTCTCTTTATATTTGTGCAGCCTAATTATACCACATCATGAACATCCATGCAGAATTAGTACTCATATATTAGTTACAGATATATTACTATTTTTTGTATAAGAAAGGCTCACTCTAAAATAAGTGTTTACTTGTGACACAGGACTCAAGGAAATGTATTTAGAAGGGTTGCTGTCAAAACAGTAAAGTTAGAACCACACATACTGAACTATTATGTTTAGCCATTTTTCACCAATATCTATTTCTAATCATTATCACTGCGTACACAACTAAGATTTCAAGGCTATTGTCCCATTTCACACCCTACAGTCTGAAACTGTCTTCCTAAAATAGCCCATTTATGCGTGCCCGCACACACACAAAAATAGGCACACTGAAGTAGTACTTTTACTGTGTCACACCATCTCCTGATTTATCTTTAGCATCTTTTCAAAAATAGAGTTGCCTGTTAGCTTGATAAATCATGTTCACTTTGAAGGAAATTCAATATGCAAATACTTCAGCTGTTCCTGGTACAAATGGTCTAACTTGTCAGTTTGAAAAACTGAAAATCAACAAAGGAACACTTGACCTTATTGCCTAACATCTATCAGGAATGCCAGGGTTAGTCAATTTTAAATCTGTGAAAATGACATTCAAATGTATATGGTGCTTCTTCAGACCAGATCCTGTAAGTATTGACTAGAACCAGGTATAACTTTTGACTCTCTACACTTAGAAAGGTAGATTAAATATCAAATCAATCTATGTCCATCCTGTTTAACCCTTCTCAATTTATTTAACACAATAATGCTATTTCTAATCTAATGGATCATACAGATGTCTTTTTTAAAGTCCCATATAAATCTCTCACTTTTATCTTGAAGATCATCTTGCACACAGCATCCTTCCTCTACTATAAAAACAGCAAGGGCAACAAAACAACCCATAGGGGGTTATAAAGAGGAGACAATATTTTTTATTATTATTTCCAGTAATATTACCATAACCTATTCACAGTAAGTCATAAGTAAGCCTTCATGGTACCAAGCACTGTACAATAATGCCGTTCCTGCAAAATCATGAGAGAACTCTGTACAATGGAATTTGCTGTCTAAGAGCAGTTTATACAGGCCCCTAGTGGTTCAGAACTCACAGTAGCAGACAAAGGGGTGATCTCTACTTTTTCAGCTTGTGAACTTCTGATACCACCATTCTTTTAGTGTGGAAACAAGGGATGGTTTATAAACCATAATGATGACTGTAACAGGGTAGCTGGGATTCTGAACCCAACTCCAAGCTTTGGTCAAAAGTCTACATTGGAAGTGAAATATTGTATGACCACCTCTCCCTATCCCGTCATTGCTAGGATGTAAGTAATGTCTAGGTTATATAATAATGAAATACGTTTGAATACGAATAGTGGCACAAATTATTCAACAACACTTTGGTCAAAAGCAAAGTACATTTTAAAATATGAATCTCTGAAATCTAGAAACTTTGAGATGCA